CTTTCTTCCCTTTAAGGAGATCTATAGGATTTGCTTCCTGTGCTGAGTTATAGAAAGCAATTGACACCTACAGGGCTTTACTGTTTCTTTGAGACAGTGTCTCACTATGTAGTCTAGACTGGCTTAAACTCACTATGTAGCCGATGCTGGCTTCAAACTCACGGCAATCCTCCTACCTTACTCTCCCAAGTGCTGGAATTATAGACATGCACCACCACACCCAGTTTAGAGGGCTTTAAATGAGCACAATTCAAGCAGGGGTGACTATTTTATTTTGAGGAGGGTGACTATTTTAAAATATTAGTATCCAGGTATGTTAAATATAACACTGACTAGCACATGGTGACTTTCCCCTGTGTAACCTTGACAACTGCTTTAGGTCAACATACATTTTAAGGGAGTTGTACTGTTGACCTAACTGCCATTTCCTGGTTATAAAAGAAAATGTTTGTCTCAGAAAAGCTGGGCTAGGACCTTAATTCCACATTGACTGCAAACATCCTGTGAAAATTGCAGTCATCTACCCTCCCCCCAACCCAGTTCAAACGAAAAAGACTTGATAGATTTGCTTTTATTGTCAAAAATCAAATCACTCTGCCAATCAGTATTACAGATGACATTTTCATTTGCTGTATTATAAAAATGATATTACCAAATTAAAATATTTCTCACAGTAGAAGAGTCTATGAATATATTACAGATTTGAAGGATGAACTAAATATGATACTCCAGTTACTTTTGAGTCATGAGGCTGTACTAACTTTTGAGTGGGAAAGAGAAAGAGGCTGGTAGGCTCAGCATTACCAATGTCAATGGCATTTCAATTTTCTAATGTTACACTGCACAAAACTATTTAAATTTTCTTTGAGTTCATTCATATTAAAATTGCACATTAGGGAGATGGTAAAATCTTGAATTAAGAAAAACTTATACCTTTAATCTTCATTGTCACCTACCTGCCCTGGAGTGGCCCTGGAATATCCTCTGATAAAAGTTTATTTTCTTTCTCCTGCTCTATTCTTCTAATGTAAAGGAAAGAAAAAATTTTATCATAATTAATTTGAACATGTACACATGTGACCACATTATTTACAACCTCTTAGTAACTGATATAGGATTTGAAACACATTTATCACATCTCAGACCCCACTTTTGGGTAATCTGAGTTACAGGAAAAGGACATTTTAAAAAAAGTTGATGCCCTGTATGATCTGAATCTATAATAAAAAGGATTTATAGATTCAAATCAATATTATATAAATGAAACTTAAGAGACAGGACAATTGTAAGTCCTTCCCCTCAATTTCAAAATCTTTTAATTACAAAGTACCTTCTACACCAGACAAATACCAATTTTAAAGTCAGCAGAAGCTATGCATGGCATTTGGGAGTTAAAAGCTGTCCTTAACAGAAGTAAGCCAGAGACCCCCAGTTACAAAACAAGCTGAACATACTGAAGGCACAGGGTGGCTTCCACTGGCTTACCTCTGACCATCCTCCAGCATCTTCATTGCCTCCTTCAAGTTTTTCCCCATTTCAGCTAATGTAGGGTCTGCTATCTGGGAAACCAAAAAAGGCTCAATTGTAATGCTGCTATATCACTTCTGCAATATAATTCACCTAGAAAGGGCAAATCCAAATCTTCTGGATTTATTACAAAATACAAACATTATAAAATATGTGTAAAATTTTGAACACTATAAAAGCATAACATAATAAATATAACTCCTCGGGTTCTACTCCCTACACCATACCACTTTAAAGCACAATACATCTCTTTCCAATCAGAAAGTGTTAAATGGGGGGTGGGGGTGGTGGGGGTGGGGTTAGTGTTGGAAAACCAAATAATCCTCCTCATCATAACAACAACAATAATAATATAACAATGGTATGTTGAAACAGATTGCTTTTTTGAGGAAGAGTCTCACTATGCATTTCAGGCTGGCCTTAGCTCACTATGTAGCCCAGGCTGGCCTCAAACTATCAGTGATCCTCCTGCCTCAGCCTCCCACATGCGAGGATTACAGGCGTGCACCACCACGCCCTGCAAAGCAGACCATGGAAAGGTCTGGAAGCTGACTGAGGAGGGTGGTCATTCTCCTGGACGCCTCAGGACAGGGGGTAGATTTAGTCCCCGAGAAAGCTGTGATCTGTCTGCCCTGTATCGCCCCAAGGCCCCAAATTCACTTCCTTTGCCCAAGTATCCATTCATAGCTTTTCAGGTTGGGAAGAACTCAAAAAAAATTTTAACAGTGCTGGAGATGGCGGTGGCGCACACCTGTGATCCCAGCACTCAGGAGGCTGAGGCAGGAAGATCACCGTGAGTCTGAGGCCAGCCTGGGCTACAGGGTGAATTCAAGGCCAGCCTGAACTGCATAGCAAGATCTTGTCTCAGAGAAAACATAAATCATGACAAAGTGCCGTAGATTAGGCTCCTCCCCACCACACCACCCAGCCAAGGCGTCACTGAGTCACAAGTCCCAGGCAGAAACTATTCTTC